CATATCCTATTTCTTGCAGTATTTCCTCTGCATCCTTACAACTTGTATTTTCAGATGTTTGGGGTCCACTCCTACTTCTGTTGGTAGACACTCATATTATGTAAGCTTCATTGATGACTATAGCAAATTTACTTGGATCTATCTCCTTAAGAAACAATCTGAAGTGTTTCAAGTTTTCAAGAACTTTCAAAATCTTGTTGAACGAAAACTAAACACAAAGATCATTGCTATGCAGACTGACTGGGGAGGTGAGTACAAAAAGCTCAACCTATTTTTTCAGGAACTTGGCATCTCACACCATGTTTTGTGCCCCCATGCACACCAACAGAATGATTCCGCTGAAAGGAAACACCATCATGTCGTTGAAGTAGGGCTAGCTCTACTAGCAAATGCATCGATGCCATTAAAGTTCTGGGATGAAGCTTTCTTGACTGCTACATATCTCATAAACTTACTCCCTAGCAAGGTCATCAAATATGAGATCCCACTCACACGTCTCTTTGGCATTACTCCTGATTATAAATCACTACGTGTATTCGGTTGTGCTTGGTGGCCCAACCTCCGTCCATATAATACATGCAAACTTGCATTTCGTTCAAAGAAGTGTGTCTTCCTTGGGTATAGTCCCATTCATAAAGGAGTCAAATGCCTAGATGTTTCTAGTGGTAGGGTATATCTCTCTCGAGATGTTGTTTTTGATGAATCCGTATACCCCTTTGAGTCTCTTCATCCGAAAGCCGGAGCACTCCTTAGGAAAGAAATTCTTCTCCTTCCACCCAATCTCCAAAACTTGGATCAAGGGGGCGACAATTGCACTAATCCAACTAATGATCCTACCAGTACTGGTGTTGCATCTTGTCCTGTGCAGGGCTTTGCAGAAGACGCAACAGAAATCGGTGTAGAAAATGATCCAAATTTTGATGAAAATGAGCCTATATTTCATGAGATAGAAGAAGACGAAGCTGGCGCTAAGCACGAGGAGGATCCGGAGTCACCTGGAACTCCTGTGCGTCAGCTCTCCTCGGATCGGGTGCATGGATCAGCTCAGGATCGCGTGCTGGAGAGATTCTTTCCGCACCATTTAGGCATCGCCACGTCGCCACGTACCGGGTTCGCCTCGCGCCCCACGCACGGGCCAGCGAAAGCGACAGCAACAGAAACCGCGTCGCCCGGCTCGGGATCTCCGCTCCGCATGCACCAGTAGTTCGACGCGGGATCTTCTGTGGCTGCCGAGTCGGACACCGCCACATTTTCGGCCACACAGCGCGCCGCTGAGGCTGATCCAGGATCTGCTGTGGAAAGTGCCTCCAGGATGCTGCCGGGATCTTCTGCAGTAGATTTGCCTTCACCATCTCCTGTGCAGAAACACACACGTCGCATGGCTCAGCCACAACCTGCTTCACGTGTCACAACTCGACTATAAAAAGGTATAAGCAAACCGAAAAACAGAACTGATAGCACTATACGATATGGCATGTTGTGTGTTACAAGGGAACCGACAAGACTAGAGGATGCACTTGAGGATCCAAAGTGGAAAAATACAATGGATGAAGAGTATTCGACACTCATGAGAAACAAAACTTGGCACCTTGTGCCTAAGAAAAGAGCTAAAAATGTCATTGATTGTAAATGGGTTTACAGAATAAAAAAAGGCAGATGGTTCAGTCGACAGGTATAAAGCATGTCTAGTTGCAAAAGGTTTTAAACAACGTTATGGTCTAGATTATGAAGATACTTTCAGTCCCGTTGTTAAAGCCGCAACTATTAGACTTGTATTAGCCATTGCAGTTTCCAGAGGATGGAGCTTGAGACAGCTAGATGTTCAGAACGCGTTCTTGCATGGTGTTCTGGAAGAGGAGGTTTATATAAGGCAACCACCTGGGTATGAAAACAAGAAAGTACCTCATCCTGTGTGCAAGCTTGACAAGGCGCTTTATGGTTTGAAACAAGCACCAAGGGCATGGTATTCAAGACTAAGATCTCAGTTAAGGCGTCTTGGTTTTGTTGCATCTAAGGCTGACACTTCACTATTCATCTACAACAGGGCAAACATAACTATATTTGTACTAGTATATGTTGATGATATCATAGTTGCAAGCTCGTCACAAAGTGCTACTAATGCTCTTCTGCATGATTTAAGTTCAGAGTTTGCTTTGAAGGATCTTGGTGATCTACACTTATTCTTAGGCACTGAGGTAAAGAAGATTCAGGCTGGCATAGTATTGAACCAAGAAAAATATGCCAATGAACTTCTAGTTCGCATGGGGATGAAAGATTGCAAGCCTTCACCCACACCATTATCCTCTTCAGAAAAACTTTTAGCTTTTGAAGGTCAACCACTCAAAGAAGAAGAGATCATGAAATACAGGAGTGCAGTAGGATCTCTACAGTACTTGACACTGACAAGGCCTGATATTTCCTTTGCTGTTAACAAGGTTTGTCAGTATCTTCATGCACCTACCACTGTACACTGGACAGCTGTTAAGATAATTGTACGGTACATAAGATATACTGTGATCTTAGGCCTTCAAGTTAAACGTTCTAACTCCACTCTTGTTAGTGCCTTCTCTGATGCTGACTGTGCAGGATGCAGCGATGACAGGAGGTCAACTGGAGGATTTGCAGTTAATCTCATTTCTTGGAGTGCTAGAAAATAGGCCACAGTATCTAGGTCAAGTACTGAAGCTGAATACAAGTCACTAGCTAACGCTACTGCTGAGATTATTTGGGTTGAATCACTGTTAAATGAGTTGGGAATTAAGCAGCATCGTGTGTCATGTTTATGGTGTGACAACTTGGGAGCCACATATCTTTCTGCAAATCCAGTGTTCCATGGCAGAACCAAGCATATAGAAATTGACTTTCACTTTGTAAGGGAAAGGGTTCCAGAGAAGAAGTTGGACATACGATTCATCCCTTCCAGAGATCAAGTTGTAGATGGATTCACTAAAGCTTTGCCAGTCAAGCCTTTCGAGGAATTCAAGAGGAATCTTAATATAGGATAGTTGAGATTAAGGGAGGGTGTTAGACTTAGAGATATATCTCTTGTAATCTCAAACTAACTCTATCTCTTCCTCTCCCGTAGCTCTTTCAAACTCCTATGTAACTACCGAATCCCAAAGTGATCGGCACAACCTTGTAAGCCACGACAGGGGCGTTTTCCTGCCTCGATCAATATATACACACACGGCTCCCTTACGAGGGAGTAGGAATGCTTCCTATCTAACATCATCTTCCCACCTCATTCATAAGAGACAAAAATATTAGCCCTAATAGAGCATGCGAGCGACATGCAGATTCCGTGAGCAGAAGAGGAGGTTATAACAGGAGTGGTCACCACACTAACTCCATCATAAGCGTGATGCTCTTGCTTGCGTTGGCTCACCATGGCCGCGGTTTATCTTCGGTCGCAAGGAAGGAAGGAAGAAAATATGGTGGAAGATATGCATTGGACCGGAAAGCCCATTTGGCCCAATGGTGGAAGATATGCATTGTCTCACCATGGGCTATTCTTTCAAATTAAGATTGGAGTTTCCGTTTTAGCATATTCGGATTTTTTTGGTGGGAAACTGTCGATCTATCCATCTTCAATCAAGGCAGTACAATGAATACCAGAAATAATAAAAATTACATCCAGATTCATAGACCACCTTACAACGACTACAAGCACTAAAGTGAGTCGAAGGCGCGCCGCCGTCATCGCCCCTCCCTTGCTGGAGCCGGGCACAACTTGTTGTAGTAGACAGTCGGGAAGTCGTCGTGCTAAGGTCCCATAGGACCAGCGCCCCAGAACAGTAACCGCCGCCGATGAAGAGAAGTTTAGATCAGAAGGATCCAACCCGAAGACAGATGAACAAAGACGAACAAAGACCGGATCCAAGCGGATCCACCAAAGACAACTACCGACCAAATCCCGCGAGATCCGCCGGAGACACACCTCCACACGCCCTCCGATGATGCTAGACACACCATTGGGACAAGGGCTAGGCGGGGAGAATCTTATTCCATCTTCAAGAAGCCGCCGCCGTCTATTCTTTTTGAATAGAACACAAACCCTAACAAAACTTGAAGAAGCACCTAAAAACAGAGCCCTCCCGCCAGCAAAGGCCGGGATCCACCGCACACCCATGACCCTAAGGCCACAAGAGACGTGGGAGATCGACGCCGCCGCCGACGGGAGGTAGAAACCCTAGCCCCTTTTCTTGGAGGGGAGACAAAGGGAGGAGAGACGTACGTATGTATATTTGGATTACTCCTCTAAAAGAAGAGGAATTGTTGTTTGTTTCGCAAGGGAGATTTATATGGTTTGGAAAACATTGTTGTTTGATATAAAACAAATGTGGCAAACTGTTCTATTACAGAGTGTAGATGGAGATTATCAAATCACCTGTTATGAAAAATGAGCTAAACATTCCTAAAGAATTAATATAAAGATTTGGTTGAACAACAACATGAGCGAGCTAATAAGAATGTCACGCTAAAACTCTCAAGTCTTGGTATTGTTACCACCATTGTGATTTCGTGTAGAAATTCGCCTTGTTCGTGCATTTGTCCGAGCCTACATACTACAATAGTTAGTCCAAACTTCATACGCTTTTAACCAGGTTGATTCTACTTTTTCTCTATCCATGCACTAAGGAATGTTTACTTTTTTGAAGAAAATGTTTACTTCCAACCATGGATAAAATACACAAGGGTTTACAACTTTTGCAGAATTTCTATCGATGTTCATAGTGGCTAGAGTTAGTTCGGATCAAAGGTCGGCACAACTTCATCACCATGCAAATTTTTAATGTCTTTAATCAACCAATATGTTAATCAGTTCACACACACTAAACATGTGTGATAAATAACATAAATTTTAAAGAAAGAAACATAACACAGAAGGTAATGCGGAAATGTTTGTTTTACATGTGAAAGAGATAAATTAGGGTAAAGTAGCAAGAGTTTCAAGCTGAACAACTATCTCATCAAGCTAAAAAGACTGTCATGATATGCTCTCAAGACTCAACTGTATCCTTGTCGTCACTGTGATTCTGGGATGAAATAGCATCATTTGAACTCGAAGGACCCACCTAAAACATGAGTAAAGATCAATACACAAGGCACTGATATTTCCATAACAAGACACCACTAGTCAGGGAAAACCTTTTCCCATTAGGAATAAAAGTAATGAATAAATCCAAACAATTGCCTTTTTCTGAGAAAAAGAAGGCACACAACTAGGATTATTTTGTCGTTAATTTTGAATTGAACATGTCAAACTAAGAAAAGAAGAGCAAATGTAAATTTTCGGATGAATGGTATCAATGACGTTTACAATCGATTTATGTTTCCTTCTTTTAATATTCTTTGTTATGTAACACTATTTATGTTGCTTTATCTCATGTTTATATGTGTATAATATTGAGAAAATTGCATGAAAGCAACCCAACCTACTTGTAGTTCCATGCTCAACTAGTGCAGCTATACTGAACTAGTCATCTTTCACAAAGCAAACCGACAATGTACAAGCAAGAAGTGCAGAAAGAACATGTTATTGTTTAATGATGAAATGCTAAACTAAGTAGCAAGACCTATATTAGTGTAAGTTCTTAATTCACCCTATGAAAGTGTGAAGCTATAAATTAATATAAGAATCATGACATGTAGTGTTTTGCAACAATGCTATATTTAAAGTATTTACAATATTAAGTAGCTATTTCTCGTACGATGTCAAATAACTTGACTATTAACAACCTCAATAACAACACAAAAAACTCAATATCTAGGCAACTTGCACATGTAGCATAAAGAACATAAGTACGCACATGGGTGCATTTTTTGGTGAAACATAGTTTTACTTCAACAGAAGTAATTTATCTGTATAAATGAATTAGAAATAATTATTTTGTGTACATTTCAAGATAGTATTATTTGCTTAAATGCCTAATATAGTAGATTAGGAAAGTGGTAACAAGCACAAGGAAGCTAAAGTGGAAATGAATAATAATAAAAGTTTGACCAAATGTAAAAATTACCTTATATTGTGTAGCAATCTCCGTCATACGAGCGATCCACCCAATTTCCTTATTCATAGCCTATAGAAAAGTTAACTTTACTAATTTTCCATATAGGAACAATCATAACTAATCCGTCCAATAAAAGTAAACACACTATATATACCTTGCAAATATCTCCATACTTCCTCATACGAGCAAGTAACTTTTCTCTGTCCCGCTTTTCCCCCACCAAATTAAGTCGTTGGGAGGATCTTGGATACTGAAGTGCCAAGAGATATGTTAACTAACTAGTTAAACTCTTTTCTTTGCTCTTAAGATGGTTATGTATTGTTCAAACTAAAATGTGAAAAATGTATGTTAACTTCTGTTTACGTAAAGAATTACCTTATTTGGAAAGACTGGAACGATTTGATCAATTTGCAGGCCTATTTGTTGTCGAATCACGTCATTTGATATACCTTGCAGACGATGTTTGAGTTGTATGCCAGATCGTTGTGAAAAGACCTATCAAATGGCAACTCAACAATTTTGTTAGATTTCCCAACATAATAAATTTTTATTAAGGTAAATTTCAATTAAGACAACATACAGTTATGTCATGCTCTTTTTGATGAATGTGGCTCCACATCTCTTCTAGCTGAGAGAGCTCGTCCTCGCAAGGCTTCCACTTCTTAAATTTCCAAACTTCCCTCTTTTTTGGCTTACGCACAATGCCGCCTTTTTTGTACACATCTAAGCGTACAAGTGACTCCACATATATGTAGGATTGCATATTGTCTGGCTTGCGAGGGCTAAAATCTAAAACTAGGCTAAAGCCTGAAAACCTCATCATGTTTAATATCATAGGCTTGATATTCCCTTCATTCCCATGCAAATCATGAGAAAATAGCCTACTATCATTTCTTTGCATCAATAACTTATCCCCATAAGATAAATTTGGACCCGCGATGTAACCTGCTGTAAGAATATTGTACTTCTGGCTCCAACTTTGCTCGACCTTGTTGTCTAGTGTCCAGATCTGCAGCTTACCATAAATAACTTTGTGCCAGGTTTGAGCAGTTGCTATACATATTTTCCCCTCTATCTCTCTGATCCAGTACCTACGGGGACCACCATAAACACTATTTTCAAGTACTGATGTTGGCAGTTCTATCCGTGCAAAAGCTTCTTCACCGAGATCAAAGCACATAACAACATGCTTCCAGTTAGTTGCCATATCATTAGTTAACCAGTACATTGTTCCACCAACATTGATTAGTCCAGAGTTTTTGACGCAACTCAAGCTTAAGGCTTCTGGGGTTCTGATGTCTTTCCATTTCTCATCACCAAGCCTGTAAACTTGAATGATGGTGAATTTGTCTCCATTCTTGGGGCGGCCCTCAACATAGTCACCCAAGTGTGTAATTTTGTATTCTCTTGTCAATGGGTGAAACCCAAAACTATAGAACAAGAATTGGTCGCCACTGAAATTCTTTATAGGTTTCTCAAGATGCAAACATTCGCCGGTTGCAAGGTTAGCTATCTTGATTGTCGATGTCTTGGTGTATAAGCAAATAATCCCATTACATGAACCACAGAGTAAATCATCAGGGTCAATGGTTGGCACTGCATATGTTGATTGTGACCAAGCTTTATCAATTAGAATAGCATCACTCGGGTAATGTTTTCCTGCAACATAATCTTGTTGGAAGAATATGAGGGAATAATGGGATGCATGCTTCAGGTGTGATGTGACAAAATTGGGATCCCGGATCAAGTTTTTCCAGCACGTACAAACACCAATACACACCAATAAAGTGCTCACCGGAAGCCAAAAAAATATCCGCTCGATGAGCTCTCTCGGGAGACGGTTTATGGAATATTCCTCATTTCTTTCCTTCTTTGAACCAGCTTCCTCAGAATCCATAATAAGCATACTATAGCCCAATGAGACAATCTAACCGTAGAAATATTGCACAAGCATCTGTTGAGACAGCCTAACCACAGAAATATTGCACAAGCACACATTTTAGTAAAATGATGACGTGCACCCCTATATATTAGAACTAAAATAACTTGTGGTAAAAAAATAAGAATCGGTTCTGAAATTTTTGCGAAAGATCATGACACTCCTACATCCAAGATCATGCTATTAGTTAATGAAATTATAAACAACCTAGCATGACCTATATTAGTGTAAATTCTTAATTCACCATATTCAAGGGTGAAGCTATAAGTTAATATAGGAATCAAGACATTTAGTGTTTTACAACAATGCTCAGTTCAGAATATTTATGTATAACCTTGATGACGTTTTTATTTCTCCTCCAATGTTAAATAACTGGACTGATAACTACCTAAGTAATTGACAACACAACAAAATCAATACCTAGGCAACATACACTTGTATGCAAATAACATAAGTATACACATGACCACAAATTGAAATATTGGGTGAAACATAGTTTTGTCGTAGTGGAAGTCAGTTACCCATACAAATGAATAGAACATAATTAATTTGATTAAGTTTCAAAAAACATAATTAATTTGATTACATTTCAAAATAATTATTTAATCAATTGGATGAGATACTAGATTAGGCAAGTGTTAACAAGAACAAGCAAGCTAAAGTGGAAATGAATAAAATTACCAGATCTTGTAGAGCAATCATCGTCATACTAAAGATCATCCCAATTGCTCCATATATATAGCCTGTAGGCAGGTTAAGTTTACTAATTAGACATCTAGAAACAACTCTAAATTATCTAGTTAGCAAATATAAACACAATATACCTCGCAAAATATCTGCATCTTTCTTTGTATGAGAAGTTACCTTTTCTCTATCCCTCTTCCGCGCCACCAAATTAAGTCGCCAGAGATTATCTTGGATGCTAGAGTGTCAAGACTTATGTCGCCAAGGTGCGGGTGGTTGCTTCGGCTATCTCTACCCAAGATGTGTAAGTCAGAAAAGGCACTCCGACAACAAGCCACAATTCGGTACTCAGAGAAGCGGCGTGAAGCAAGACTGTAGATCTTCGCTAATGGATGGCACGAATAGGCGATCTAGGAAGCATGTGGAGCAGAGGTAGGGGTGAGAATGTGGTTCTCGTGGGCTCACGAGGGGGGGAGCTGTGGACGCGCGATGCAGCTCTAGATTTGTGG